TCTCTTCTAAGATTGCCCTGTATTTGGCTCCATCCATTTTCCCGATCAACTCTGACCAGCTTCCCTGTCCCTGCTGAAGAAAAGCATCTCCATAACATGATGCTGCCACCACCATGTGTCACGGTGGGGATGTTATGTTCAGGGTGATGTGCAGTGTTAGTTTTGTTTTCAGCATTGTGCCAAAGCATTTTTTAGGCCAAAAAGTTCACTTTTGGTCACATCTGACCAGAGCACCTTCTTCCACATGTTTGCTGTCTCCCCCACATGGCTTCTCGCAAACTGCAAACGGGACTTCTTATGGCTTTTTTTTCAACAATGACTTTCTTCTAGCCACTCTTCCATGTAGGCCAGATTTGTGGAGTGCACGACTAATAGTTCTCCTGTGGACAGATTCTCCCATCTGAGCTGTGGATCTCTGCAGATTCTCCAGAGTTACCATGGGCCACTTGGCTGCTTCTCTGTTGAATGCTCTCCTTGCCCAGCCTTTTAATTTAGGTGCACGGCCATGTCTTGGTAGGTTGGCAGTTGTGCCATACTATTTCCATTTTCAGATGATGGACTGAACTGTGCTCTGTGAGATGTTCAAAGCTTTGGATATTCTTTTATAAATCTAACCATGCTTTAAACTTCTTCACAACTTTATCCCCGACCTGTCTGGTGTGTTCTTCGGCATTTGTGATACTGTATGTTCACTAATGTTTTCTAACAAACCTCTGAGGGCTTCACAGAACAGCTGTATTTATATTGAGATTAAATTACACACAGGTGGACACTATTTACTAATGAGGTGACTTCTGAAGGGAATTTGTTCCACTAGATTTTAGTTAGGGGTATCAGTAAGGGGGGCTGAATACAAATGCACGCCACACTTTTCACAGATTTATTTGTAAAAATAATTTTGAAAACCGGTGTGTGTGTGTGTGTGTTGTAGTGACTTTTGGGGGACTATTTATTAAAAATATGATTTCATTCCAAAAGTAAGAAGCCCAGCTGTCTGTGAGGGGTTAACATTCCAGAGTGGATTTCAAGGGATATTTCAAGAGGTTATCACACACACAATGAGTGGAAGAGACTTGTTCCAGACACAATATGCTATTTGAATGTCTACAGGTGGTCAAACACCATTATTTAGACTTGGATGGCAGGTAAACATATACAAGGACTTGACATGACAATAGAGGAACCAAACTGATTGTCTGAGAGCTCACACGAAACCTTGGAGAGTGTGATGAACAAACAAACTTCTCGAACTGTCACAATATACTATTATCCACTAAGGTTAAAAGTATAACTGGTTGTTTACCGTAACCCGCACACAATCGACAGGTAAACAGAGGGTTTTTCCTACTCATGGGAATTTCATTTCTAAAACCAAAAGGTTAAACCTAGGACATATAAAGCTAAGAACTAGATATCTACCCACAGTGACATTATCAAAAGACATATTATCAACACTTTTATAAAGGGTATGTTTCCACACACAAAAATATATTCAGCAGAGTTGGGGATTGCATACCACTCAATTAAGTATGAAATGGTGAAGAGTAAGATATTTTGTAAATTGGTATCAGTTGTATATTTCCATCAGAAATCAAATGTTTCAAACAGTTTAAATATCAAGGAACTAAATGAACATATATCTTTCTATGGTTCTTATCCAAGAATTAGTAGAGAAATTAACTACATTTGGATAAGACATACATATTTAATACCTAAAGTTATCTTGGTTCCAATCAAAGCATGAGTCATCAGGAATACTCAAATTGTTTTGTGATCCCTGACTGCCCCCCAGTGGACAGGTGAGACATATCATATGTATACATACTTCCCGACTGGCCAATCAACACGCCTGTTGGGAGAGTCTTTTAAAAACAAAAGTATTAGATGGTATAAAAAAGCCATGCACCTCACATAAGGATCATGCTGAAAAAAAAAGAAAAGCTAAAGAAAAAACAATCAACAAAAGGAGAACTGAAGATGCCGAAATCTATCCCATCTGAAGAACTTAAAGATCTTTTAATACTACTTCTCAAACTTCTAAAACTTCTGCTAAACTGCTAAACTTCTAAACTTCTGAACCTCTACACTCCTACACTTTTCCTAAAAACTGTAACCCACTGCACTATCTCTCACTTGCTCCCTGCGGCCATTTTGCTGAAGGAGTCCAGCTGCCATCTAGTTTTCACCAGAGCTCCTAATGGTGGATATGGATTTGGCTGCGTGTTAGTACCAGATCACAGATCTCAGGATCACTCCACCAGGGAATGAGCAAGCTGGAAACCAGTAGCAGATCGAACATGTTAGGGATCAAGCGGAAGCGGAGTCAGTAAACAAGCCAAGGATCGGTCACAAACGGTATTAGATGAGGATGAGGCAGAATCGTAGTCCAGGAACAAGCCAAAGGTCGGTAACGAAGGTATAGCCAGCAGCAGGAGAGACAAGTGGGATATTGGCTGGAGAAGGCACATTAATCTGGCAAACAAGAAATGCAGAAACATGGCTTTTATCAGGAAGTTCATGGGAAGAGCAAGGGGTTCAAGGTTCAAGCTCAACAAGGTCAAGGCAGGATCATCCAAATAGTTGTCAAGGGTGCTGTCCAGCATTCCAGGTGGCTCAGCAAGAAGAAACATTTCTTTTCACAGCAAAAGGCCCAGATTTGAACCCAGGCTCTGACACCTGCACTCCAAACACAGTGCACCCTTTAATTCTGCACTCCATACATAGTGTACCCCTCAACTCTGTACATAGTGTGCCCCTCAACCCTGCACTCCTTAAATAGTTCAATCCTGTAGTCTGTACATAGCTCAACCCTGCCCTCTGTACACAGTGCATCCTTTAACCCTGCATGCCATACACAGGGCACCCCTCAATCCTGCACTTTGTATATAGAACAGCCTTCAACCCTGCACTCCATAAACAGCACACCCCTCAAACTTGCATTTCATACAGAGTGCACCCCTCAATCCTGCACTGCATATGCAGTGCAACCCTGAACGCCATACACAGTTCGCCCCTCAACCCTGCAGTCTGTACATAATGCCCCCTGCAATCTTTATGTACCCTGGCAGCTCATCCTTGGAGATGCTGCTCACATTGGGCTCTGTTCCTATCTGCACTCAGTAAACCTTCATAGTTGTGTGTTCTCTGCTCATTGCTAATAACAAGTTCTAAAATTTTCTGTCTATTGGTGGGTCTTGTCCCCTCCGCGGTGTGTAGGAAGGGAGGAGATTGTATGCTGTAACTTCTAGCAACCAATTAGTGAGCTGTAATGATGTGCAGTAATCTCTAGCAACCAATTAGCAGTAATAATGTGCAGTAACCTCTAGCAACCAATCAGTGAGTGGTAATGATGTGCAGTAACCTCTAAGAACCAATGGGTGAGCTGTAAGGATGTTCAGTACCCTCTAGCAATTAATCAGTGAGCAGCCAATCAGCAAGCAGAAATGATGTGTTGGAAGCTCTAGCAACTGATCAGTGAGCCGTAATGTGTGCTGTAACCTCTAGGAACCAGTCAATGTTCAGTAATTATACGCTGCAACCTCTGGCAACCAATTGCTGACTGGTCTGCTGCAGTAAACTGATTTTGAGTCTAGCAGCTATTTATTGTATGTCTCAGAGTGGGGGGCTGGGGGGGTGATGGCTAGGGAGGCCCAAAAAAAAACATTTGCTCAGGGTCCAATCAATATTAAAGACTGCCTTGTGCAGAATACATCTCTGAACACACAACACGTTGAATGTTGAACCAGATGGGCTACAGCAGCAGAAGACCACACCGTGTGCCACTCCTGTCAGCTAAGATCAGAAAATAGAGGCCACAATTCACAATGTGCTGCCATTTGCTGGCATGTTACAAAACTAGTCTTGAAACTTTTTGATACCATCTCATACATATGGTATATACTGTATATTGTATATATGCATGATTCCTTCTTGTATTCTTTTTTACTTTAGTTCTAATATAAATCTAATCTAAAACTAAGAAAACCTTCAGATCTATACAAAAGAGACATAATAATAGAAAGAGACTTTAGGGGAACTAAATCAGAAATGTATAATAGTGCGTAATGTCCCATTCAGATTTAGTTTGAATTGATTCTATAGGCTGAAGATTTTTTACCTTCATGCATTCTGTGCATGAAGATAAAAAAACCTTCCATGTTCAGCTCCCCCCAATACTCACCTGAGCCCGATCTCGATCCAGCAGTGTTCACGGGAGCCTCGCTTGTCCCGGGTCTCTCTCTCTCCTCATTGGCTGAGACACAGCAGCGGGACCATTACCAGAGGGACCATTAGCTCTCATTGCTGTCAATCACAACCATTGAGCCATTGAGGAGAGAGTGGGGGGGCGGAGCTGAGCCACAGCTTTATGAGTCTTATGGACGCATAGGGGTTGATTTACTAAGTCTGGAGAGTGCAAAATCTGCTGAGTGCAGTTCGCATAGAAACCAATCAGCTTTCAGGCTTTAATGCCAAAGTCTAAATGAAAGAACTGAAGTTAGAAGCTGATTGGCTACCATGCACAACTGCACCAGACTCTGAGTGCACCAGTTTAGTAAATCTTCCCCTTCGAGTGGGGCTTGGGAGGGAGTGAGTACATACCAGTGACCCCCATAGCAGTGTATTGCTATTGGGGGCACTGGTCAAAGGGGAGGAGCTAGAAGCACCAGCAGGGGGACCCGAGAAGAGGTGAATCGGGGCTGCTCTATGCAAAACCACTGCACAAAACTGGTAAGTATAACATGTTTGTTATTTAGAGAAAAAAAAACCTTTAACCGCCTCCCACCCACCATATAAGGTAATGACGGGTGCAAGGTGATTCTCTCGTTCTGGGAGGACGTCATATGACGTCCTTCCACTCTAATGGTGCATGCACGGCTTCGGGAGCGCACAGCATGGCAATCGGTGGTGCGCTGTGTCCCTCGAACACAGCGGATCATCGATCAACGGAAAGAATCGAAGATGTTGACTCGGTCATGTGATCAGCTGTGTCCAATCACAGCTGATCTCATGTAAATAGGGAAATGCCGGTTATCAGCATTTCTCTCCCCACGAGCTGTCACGCTGACAGCTCGAGAGGAGAGGAGAAATGATAATCGGCATTCCTCAGAGGGGACATCTACACTGATCATCAGGGCACTGATGACCAGTGTGCCCTGATGATCAGTGTAGCCCCAGCAGTGCCACCTGTAAGTGTCCATCAGTGCCAGCTGTCATTGCCCATCAATGCCACCTGCCAGTGTCCATCAGTGCCTCATCAATGCCACATATTAGTACCTACCAGTGCACATCAACTTTCAGTGTCACCTATCAGTGCCAGTAAGTGCCACCTATCAATTCCAGTCAGTGCCACCTATCAGTGTTGCCAATCAGTGCCACCTATCAGTGCCAGTCAGTGCCGCCTAACAGTACGAGTCAGTGCCACCTATCAGTGCCATATATGAGTGCTGCCTTTCAGTGCCCATCAGTGATGCCTGTCTGCCCATCAGTGCCACCTACTAGTGCCTCCTCATCAGTGCCCATCAGTGCCACCTATCAGTGCTCATCAGTGCAGCCTATCAGTGCCCATCACTGCAGCCTCATTAGTGCACATCAATAAAACAGAAAAATCACTTATTCACAAAATTTCATTAAAAAAACTAAGAAAAAAACTTTTTTTTTTCAAAATTTTCAGTTGTTTTTCATTTGTTTAGCAAAAAATAAAAAACCCAGAGGTGATTAAATGCCACCAAAAGAAAGCTCTATCTGTCACAAAAATATGATACAAATTTCAAATGGGTACAGTGTTGCATGACTGCACAATTGTCATTCAAAATGCAACAGCGCTGAAAGCTGAAAACTGGCCCGGGCAGAAAGGGGGTATAAGTGCCCTGTAGGCAAGGGGTTAATATCACTTTAATCCTTTCAGGATTTGGGTTTTCAATCTAAAACGTAGGACTCAGGACAGACAAATTTGATCCATGGCATTCGACAAAATGTCTTTCAATGTTATTATTTTTTGTAGTATCTTGATATTATGCCCCATAAATCTCTTTGCTCATTCTATCATTGCGTCTCTTTTGTTCAGATCTGAAGGTTGTCTTGGCTTGAGATTGAATATGAATAAAGAAATACATTGGAACTATGGTGTAAGAAAATGACAATAGGGCAACATGCATATATACAATTTATATGTATTTTTCTCCAGGTTGGAGGTTAAATTTTCGTATTATATATAGAGCTGCAGAAAAACTGGGTTTGACATTTTAGCGGCGCCAAAAAAACACCATATAACCCTTCAAAATATTTGCACAGAGCAAAAGATCAAGTTCTCCATAAAAAAAATTGGATATGCCAAATGAAAAGAGCCATTGCAACCAACAATAGAAATTAGCCCACTATGACATGGTAGTGGTGGCAGGCCAACAGCAGTGGCAGTAGATGTTAATATTGTAGCACTACCCTCTCAGGAGTTGCTGAGTTTTGGTGGTGAGGTTGAGGGGTGTATGGGATGTCCAAGGAACTGTAGAAACATGAGGACAACTCAGAGCAATTATGTACAAAGATGTGAACAAAAAGAAATAGTCTCTCCTCTGTCAGCATTCAAAGCCTTCTAGTGCACCTCGTCAGACCCCAGATCACAGTAAATGGGACTGTAAGTGACCGAGTCCAAAACAGAATCCTCCTCTTCACCGAGCTGTACTGTACCCCCCAGTGTATTCCCTGGGCAAAGGAACCCAGAAGCTGCCAATATAGAACAGTCCCAGATATGAAGCTAGTTGGGTTTTCCACCTGACTGCCCTCTCCCCTTATCCGGCCCAGGGGGTGTAAAAGTACTCACACCGTCCTTCCTCTCAACTTGTTGTTTTTCTGTCTGCCTTCTGCTGGGCTGGCTCCTTCCCTGCTGCTCAGGATGTCCCTCTTAGAAGATGGTGGTGCAGTGGAGATTCCCTTATCCACCTGTCTGTAGGTAGGCCCCTTCCCTGCGACTCCCTCTCAGGCTCCACACTCCAGCCTTCACTACATCTTCCACCCCACACTCCCTTCTCCTGATGAGCAGGCTCAGTCATACTTAAAGGCTGCTTTGGCCCCATGCCAAGCCTCCTTCTTGGGGATTGGCTAGTGTTCCCTGAGTATGCAGATTAGCCTCTCCTCACCCCCACCCACTGCATTCCAGAAACTTCTCCAGCTTCTAGAGCAGGGGGGAGGTATCAGGGAACTGACCTGCAGAGTCCTCAGCACTGATCTAAAATTACTTGTCTGACTCACCCCTAGCTAACTAGAGGGGCACTACAAGAATGTCTGGCCAGTAAAGGTAGGAGGAGATGTTAATAGTGGCTGGGTGTGCTCATAGGGTCAGGAGATGCCAATGGTGGCAGGAGCTGGGATTTCTCTCAGGCCTACAGTGATGAAAGAAGAGGACTTTGGGTGGAAGAGTCTACCCCTATAAGTCTTCCTGGTGTCCTTTTGCTCGATGGATATCACCACGACAATCACACTCTTCTTTCTCTTCCTCATGCTCCTTCTGGTGCAGTAATGGTGAAAGACTAGTTGAAATCATGGTGGTGAGAAGGGGAGTGCAAGCTCTGTGGTCAGAGAAGGATGAAGGGGTGTTGGTGCAGTAGTGGTGAGAGGGGTAGTTGAAGGCATGGTGGTGAGAGGGGGAGTGCTAGCTCTGTGGTCAAAGTTGCAAAGGTCAAAGGTGTTTAGTTGAAGTGGTGACAGAATATGAGTGGTGGGTTCTGGTGCAATTATCTTTATTTAGTAATCAAATTTAGAGATATTTGTATAACTGCTAAGAAATCACATTGGTAAAAAGACTCAGGAGAGTTATATTGTGGTGGTATATCTTACTAGGCCTCATGCACACTGGGCGTTTTTACAGCTGCTGTACCCCTTGAGGGTTAGGGACTGATGTGAATGTACAATATATATGTAAAGCGCTGCATAAATTGATGGGCGCTATATTAAGTACATTAAATAACATAAATAATAAATTAATAAAAGCTGAAAAATGCTAAAAAAAAAAGTGGTCATCCAGCATTTATGAGTGTTTTTGAGCCTCAAGCTTTTGAAAGAGTATAGTTTTGCTAAAAAATGCTAAAAAAAAAGTAAATGCTGAAAAACTGCTGAAAAACGCTAATCCAAAACGATAAAAAAAAAAATGACAAAACTTGCATTTTTAATACAGAATTCTACAGCTAACGCTACTGGCATTTTTAGAATATCCTGTGGGCATGAGGCCTTAAGGCGTCTGAATTATTTAATATTATTCATTAACCCCTTTGTGCCTAAGGATAAAACAAATCCTAACGCCTAAGCACAATTTTGCAACTTTGACATGTGTTAGCAAAACTGTACATATCATCTAAACAAGTGGAGCTTCATACCCTCCTTCACCACTGGAATTATACCTTCCCTGTTGGCCAGGAGATCACTCCACCTCGACAGTACTGTCATAGGTGTCTGTATATGCAGGCATCAAGCAGAAGGACATGGTCCAGACACACGGTGCTAGAATTCTGTTGGAAAATGGTCTGTGGGTCCAGAACAGTAGGGCAATCAGGGAATTAGTGGGCAGTCTTAAGTGAAAACGCAAAGTCCTTCACTTCAATGTTATCCTCTTCCATGTAGTAAAAGTGAGACAGGCAAACATAAGTAGTTGTAGCTGAGTGGTTGAGATGTTGGATTTGGTCAACCTGTGAAGGCTGGAATTTTTCCAACTATGATCTCTTTTTGGATTGCCTGAAGATGGTTAGATGCTTAGCAGTAATGTGTCCTGTCCTCTTAGTGGCTTGTGTTGTTAACATTGTCATGCACAAAAGCTGCACTCTTGATTTATGTTAGGAATGCATACAGCACAGGCATGTCTTCCTTTCTCTAAAGATGTGTGTCAGGGCTCCCAGGTATGACCAGAGATGTGTGACTGATGCAGGGAAACGCAGACTTCAGAAATGTGATAAACAATATAATTTATTAACACTAACCATACAAACATAAACGCAGGGCAATACTAAACATAATACAGTGCAAACAAACCAAACCAACCACCCACAGATAACAGTACAAACAATGCGAGCGTCGTCAGGCAGGCCGGGTCCATATCAATTGGGCAGGTAGGTACAGGGGGAGCAAGCAGAGAATGGTCGGGGTCACAGGCCAGGTTCAGCAGGTAGCAAGCAGCGAGGTACAGAGGGTCAGACAGAGGGGTGGTCAGGGTCACAAGCCAGGATCAGAGCAGGAGAAGTCAGCAGCAGTTCAGATCAGGGTCAGCAAAGGAACAGAAACAGGATGCAGGACAGATACAGGGCCCAGGACAAACACAACACCAAGGCAGAGTCTGAAAGTCTGGCC